GGGGCCGCGCCTGAGAGTGAGTCTGACGGGCTGTTTGCCGTCGTCCCCGAGCGAGAGTAGGTTGCCTGCGAATGAGGTCTGCAGCTGCGTCTTCTTGAAGAGGTTGTTCTGCACGACTGTCGCCCTGGCGTCCTTCTTGAGCTCGATGACGATGCGCGTGCCGTCGCGGTCGCTCTCGTCACGGAGGTCGGCGATGCCCTCGAGCTTCTTCTCGTTCACCATCGTGGCCATCCTCTCTAGCAGCACACTCTGGACACACCCACCCATCCCATCAGCCATACCCTCTCTCCCTCTCTCCCTCTCCCTCTCCGTCTCTCTCTCTCTCTCTCTGTGTGTGTGTGTGTGTGTGTCAGGTCAGCAGACTGTCGCACCTTGTTGACCATGTATGGCAGCTCCGTCACGACGATAGCGGTCCTCGACCCCAGCTGCCCGCCCTTCCTGTTGGTCTTCTTGATCTCCTCCACGTGTGTGCGGGCCCGCATCACCACCGCACCGTTGCCCGTCTTGTACAGCTTCCGCACCCCCTCCAGCCCCACGATCAGCGCTCCAGTGGGGAAGTCGGGCGCAGGGATCAGCGAGAACAGACGCTCGTCGGACAGAGAGGGGTTTCTACACACACGCACAAACACACACACAGTGGGAGGGTTGGTGTGTGGGTGTGTGGGAGAGGGGGGAAGGGGCTACTTGATGAGTGCGATGCATGCATCGACGAGCTCGCCGAGCTGGTGTGGGGGGATGTTGGTGGCCATCCCGACAGCAATACCCGTGGCGCCATTCAGCAGCAGGAAGGGCAGCTTCGCCGGCAGGATGGTCGGCTCCACCTCGTTCCCATCAAAGTTCGCCACAAAGTCCACGGTGTCCATGGACACATCAGCCAACAGCGCGTCACGGCTGAGCGGTGTCAGCTTGCACTCGGTGTATCTCATGGCTGCAGGCGGGTCCCCGTCCACCGACCCGAAGTTGCCGTGTCCGTTGACGAGCGGGCCGGACATGACGAAGTCCTGGGCCATCCGAACGAGGGCGTCGTAGACGGCTACGTCGCCATGGGGGTGGTACTTGCCAAGGACCTCCCCCACCACACGAGCACACTTGCGGAAGGACGACTCGGGCGAGAGGTTGAGGCCCTGCATGGCCCAGAGGATCCTTCTGTGGACGGGCTTGAGGCCGTCGCGGGCGTCGGGGAGCGCCCGGCCGAGAATGATGGACATGGCGTAGGACATGAAGGACGCCGAGAGCTCGGACTCCAACTCGACATCCATGACCTACACACACACACACACACAGAGAGAGAGAGAGAGGGAGAGAAAGAACAAAGAAGCATCCATCCACCACACACGGCTGGATGGATGCCTCCATAGCTGTCGGTGTCTGACCTGTCCGATGTTGCCGCCGCCCTCTCCGCCCTGCTGGTCCGCATCCGGCGGCGCAGCCACGACGCTCTTCATCTCAGTGACAGCGCGGCGGTTGTGCTGTGCCGTGTGTGGTGCCTTCCTGCGGAAAGGCTGAATGTGCGGGTGCAGAGCTGATGTTCTCGTTCGTCGGACACACGGGGAGGAGGGGAGAAAACACATACATGTAGACCAGGAGGGATCACGCCTGCAGACAGACGGACAGTCAGTCGACAAGACGCGATGACCGACCGACCGACTTGCATAGTGTGGTGTGTGTCGTGCCGCTCACCTTGCTGATTCATCGCGCGGTCGTGCAGATCTGTTTCCGGCCTGGATGCGGCCGCGGCCACCCCATCTGTGCCTAAGGCTTGCAGATCTGCCAATCCACCTCGTCTGTTGCAGCGTGTCTGTCGCTGCATCGCCGTTCTTCCGAGCACTGCAGGGCACCAGGCAGACCAGCACGGCCACAATGCTGCTGAACAGCATCGGGATGAAGCGGGAGGAGAGCTGCGTCCAAGATCTGAGCTCGCGCTGCAAGATAAGCGCGCAAAGACCCGAAGCGAACGGCCCGAGTCCGCGGAGTGGCGCATGATCCAGTGTCCGGCGGATATAGTTAGTTTCCCTTCTGCCGTGACGCATCTATTCTGCCGTACGCATGGCGTCTGTGTGCCGGTTTGCGCGGGAGGTGATAGTCGGCGCCCTCACAGGATGGCCGAGCACACAGGTACACACGCACACACAACAGGCACACGCAGCAAGCACCCAAATTCCTGCTCTGCTGCGTCTGTTTCTCTTTCTCTCCCTCTCTCTATGCTGCCCGTGGTGCGGCCCGATATGCATGGCATGCAGGAGCTGCTTCGTTGGCCGCTCTTTTTCCTCTTCGGCTTCAGCGCCCTCGTGGAGCTGGCCATCTACATCGTCGTCCGCAATGCCGTCCGGTTCATCGAGAACCTCTCGCAGTCCTCGCGGGTGCGCCGCATACGGGAGGCGCTGAGGGGGGCGCGGTCGTACGAGGAGTACGCCAAGCGTGCGCGAGAGCTGGACCTGGTGTACAAGTGTGAGGACTGGAAAAGGGAGAAGCAGAGCGAATATTATGACTGCCACCTGTAGGGCTTCCTGCCAACAGGCAGACATGGGAGCATCGATGTGTGTGTGTGTGTGTGTGGACAGGCTGGAGCGTCGTTTGTCGCAGCTGCGCAAGATGCGCCGCGAGAGCAACATCGAGGGCATCCTGCAGGTGCTCAAGCTGTGCATCCACACGGGCTTCGCAGGCATCTTCAACGAGACCCTCTACTCCCAGTCCTACACCGGCACCAAACACCTCATCGAGACCTTCATCCGGGAGGTCTGCGAGGCGCTCGAGTACCTCCGGGCCAACGCCCACCTCTACGCGCCGCAGCTGACGCGGTTCATCAGCGCCTGCAACAGCACCTGGGGGACCACCGCGTTGTGCCTGTCGGGCGGTGGGATGAATTGCATGCACCACTTCGGGGTAGCCAGGTCGCTGCTCGACCATGGCCTGCTGCCACAGGTGCGGTGGACAGGCGGATAGACAGAGAGGCGGCTGGGGATGGCTATGTGTCTCTGTGTGTGTGTGTGTGTGTCTGTTTGTGTGTGTGTGGTAGGTGATCTCTGGAGCGTCAGGTGGTGCGGTGGTGGCATCGTTCCTCTGCACGCGGACCGACGACGAGCTGAGGGCGCAGCTCGTGCCCGAGTACATCCAGCCGAGGTTCCAATGTGAGCAATCGACCGACGTGTGTGTGCATGAGAATCGACATGTGTTCACGTGAAGTGTGTGTGTTGGCCTCTCTGTCTGTGTCGACCGACAGGCATGTCGCCGGCGAGCTGGTTCATGCGGTTCTGGAACATGATGACGGTGGGGTACATGTTTGACGCCGAGCAGTGGAACAATACCATGGAGATTCTCAGCATGGGGCTCACATTCGAGGAGGCCTACAGGCGGACAGGCAGAGTACTCAACGTCGCGGTGGGCCACCCACCAAAAGTCCCAAGTTCGCCCGATTTGGTGTGATGTGCGGTGTGGTGTGTGGTGTGTGGTGGTGCGTGAAGGTGTCTCGACGGGCGGATCATTCCCCGCCCACCGTGCTGAATTACCTGAACGCTCCCCACGTGCTGATCAGCTCGGCGGTCATCGCATCTTCCGCAATGCCGTTCCTCGTCCAGCCACAGTAAACACACACCATCCCATCACCGCACCCACACATGCATAGCTAGCACAGCACAGCTCTCTGTGGGGGGGGGGGGGG